GTTTGAGGCAGGTTAACAGGAAGTGAAGCACCGTTGTAACCAGAAAACCCAAAGTTCAACCTGAAGGTAGCTTGCTAACCCCAAATCCTGCTTTTTTTTAGTACGAGCTTCTGCAAGAAAAATGTAACAACAAGTGAGAAGTATCTTATGCTTTAAGGTATTTTCAAAGATAACGTTAAAACATAAAGAACTGTTTCATGTTGGTGCAGATATTTAGGACGTGAGGAGTTTTGCAATCCTTAACATTTTGGTCCTGGTTATTTGATGTGTCACCATAGAAACAACTACTGCAGTTTAATGTGACAGCAAATACTCACTGAGCAACAGCTGTTACACCTGTTTGCAGAGCAGCCAAGCAAACTCGGAGCTGTTTTAACATAGAAGTTAAAGGACAGTAATCGCAGCCACGTGCTGATCTCTTGCTGCTCGTGTCACCGGTTGGTTAGCACACAGCAGCAGGGGTGGGTAGAGCTGGTAGAAGGTGTTCAGCTTCGTGTATTAGAACTGTTCTCTGTCCTGAAGGGGCAAATGTCTTGTTTATTAAATAAATGATGGCAGTCGGTGATAGCCACCTCATGCTGACTGACGCTGAAGTGCTGGGATTTCATATTCTGTTTGCCTTAGAAGTAGCTTAATGCAGATCTGAACAGTAAATAGGAAATAGAATTGCACTGGATTACATGCACACACTGTATTCTGTGACTCTATTATCTACCACCTCTCAGAAGCCGTCAATGTAAATACACTGAATAGCTACTGTGGATACTGCAGATCAGAAGCAGTATAAGAAATAGGGTTTGATTACAGAACAGACATAAAACATGCAATATTCTGTCATTTCTCAACCTCATATTTTCCTCTCACTTGACTGTTAGCATGTGTTTCCTCACGACTACTGACTGACAAACACCATCCGCTCTACGAGGTAGTAGATAATCGAAGTCTGACATCAACACGTGCACGCATGCAGTCGGATGACAAACAACTGGGACCGCGCCGCTGACAAGTCCAATCATCCGCCAGTCGCCAACAAGGCCAACAAGAAGCAGATGATGTCAGTTCCCCCTTTATATTGAGTTATCAGGTTGATTGAGTGTAATTGAGCGATGCATCGGAGTGCGGGGAGAAGACACCGAGCCTCTGGAGAGACTAGGAAGAGGACAGGAAGGGTGTTTCAGGAACCAGGAAATGCTGTATGGCACCAGGACCACGACATTAGCAACGTCGTCAACAGCTGGTGATTACTTACAGCCTCGCAATCAATTAATAAAACTGACAGAGGCTCTTACCAGAAGAAAAATTCTTTCTTCTTTGCCGTGATCGGAACTGCGTAAGCCATCTTCAGTCCAAAGACTTGAGAATTTCGTGAAATACAATTGAAACAAAAGGGGTTATTTTAAGTTGTAATAGAAAAAGCACTTATTCTTTTTATTCTGCTAAAGATATTTAGAGATATAATATGAAGAGAGGCACACTGGTATTAGTTCTGGTCAGCAGGGAGTACTTTACAGGTTCAGTCCGTCCTAATCAAAATTGCACTCAGTTGTATTTTGTCTGGTCTTGTTTTTCTGCCTTAGGTTTGATCTTGGCTGGATCTAAATCAACACTCTCAATGTTATGCTAGAATCAGGAGCACAAGAAAAATGAAGACTGAAAGAGAGCAGTCGTCTGTCTCCCACTTTGAGTTTGTTGCAGAATATTTAATTTTTGGTACACAAGGTAGAAACATGAACGTTGCCTTTGAAGCAAATTAGAGAATCTTTTTGAATTAGTATCAATGAGTTTTTATGGCTTTAATGAAGACATCTCAGGCCGGGTCTTTGGATTTACTTGCGTCATGTCGATTCATGCGTGTCGGGGTTTGGGTACGTCTATTTCAGATCTCTCGTTCACGCCAGCATCTCTCCGCCAGCATCCATGAAAGCTTAGAGAGTCTAAATTAACTGAGAACCAGAAGTCTCCAATCAGGCGTCAAAGGTGCTGCAGGCTTCAAGTCGCAGATTAACTCTCCTGTTCAAAATGTAAAAATGTGAGCTAGTTATCATCTCGCAGGGTGAACAGATTCACCAGTTTACTTTTATGCATTATTCTTTGATGGCAGTTGTTCATGTTGTGGCTTTGGCTTCAGGTGGAGCATCGAGCCTGTTTTTTTTTTAAAAATGTGATTGATGGCATGTTTTATTTTTGAAATTTTATGTAAGACGAGTTTCATTCAGGAATATTTTTTTGGATGTGGTTACACTTTCATGTACTGGTTTTCCAACATTATCATGCCAGTAACTGTGTAACTGGGTCTTTGGATTGACTCGCATCCTCGAGGTGCGGCGTTGTCACACGGTCAGGATAATCTTTATTATCCCAGAGGGGCTATTTGTCCTACAAGTCAGCAGTACACAACAAAAAAACCACAGTGGTACATAATTGCATCACACTGTAGGACACGAATATGACAAGCATATGGTACCGTGTAAAAGGACACTAGTTGCAGAGACAATTGAGATTTTCTGTCTGTTGGTTCTGAATCTGTGGCCACATGGGAGCAACTTAAACACACCCAACAGGGGACGGCTGTTGTCGGCCAGGACTGACGGAGCCTTTTTTATGGCTCTTTTTTATCTCTGCATAGTACAGACAGGTTTCCCAGGTCTGTCCCGGCTATTTTACTACATGTTCTTACAATTCCCTCCAGTCTGTTCTTGTGTTTTTTTTTTAGGGTAAGTGACCCAAAACAGCAGGAAAAAAAGAGAATGTTGAAACAGATTTATTAAAACGAGAATAAAAAATTGTGTTCAAAGAGGTGTTGACTTGAAGCTTCTTAGTTGTGGCTAGATTGGCTAAAGGTTTCCATTTGCCAGCAACTTGGCTTTGCTTGACTGACTTAGTGCTTGTTCTAACGGAGTCATTGGATCTGTTGGGGTTCTCTGTGTTCTGTTATTAAGTCTTAACCTTAATTTTCTTAATTAATCAGGTACATTTGCATAGCATGTGTAATTGTGGGGCTACAACCTTGAATTGGTAATGTTATTTCTCCATTGGAAAGCACTGCCAACTTTAAGTGCAGCTCTTTCTTCAGATTTATGAGTTAGCCTCTGGTGTTTTGGTTCTACCCATTAAGGCTTAAGTCAACCAGTCAGAATACTTCTGCAACCGTTTTCAGGAACGCTCAGGGGGAGAACATCGCCATTAAACAATAAATTCTTTTCCAATAAAAAAACACAAAACCGAAGGGCGGGAGAATATGAAAATTCGTCCTCAGAGCTGTAGATGATTCATTCTTTTGGGTAATATTGCAGCTGAAACCAACCCACATCTCTTTCTCCCTTTAGCCTTTTTGAAGCGAACTTCTTCTGTCCTCTCACATTTTGGATCCATCTCATTGTGCACCTCGGCCACAGTTTCACGCATTAAGGAAAGAACTGTTTATCCTCACCAGTCCCTGATTTAGTTTTTATCTCATCTACCTACACACAAACACAAAAAACACTCAATCGTTCCACTGCTCCTGTCTTCCTGACACTCATCTCCAACTTAAAAGTAACATCATGAATAACTCTGCTTGAAGGCCTGCAGACAATTACTCATATTCACTCCTTTGAGAACAGTTTCTCTGATCGTCGTGTCTTTTAATCTTCTCTTTTGGTTTCATTTTGTCAATTAATTGAGCTTTTTTCTTAAGACACACCTGAATACACGCTGAAATCAGCCTTTGTGGCTCCAGAGGGTGCTGCAAAAAGCCTGATAAACCGCTTCATAAATGAATATTATAACAGCTGTTATTGTCAATAATGATGTACTTAAGCAGACGATGGCAAATTTGAAATAAAAAATCTGCACATGTGGAGCAAGAAAGACGTGATGTTCCAACCTGTAGCCTGTTCCTCACGACTCGTACAACACCACCGAATCTCTGAATGGACTGTTGGTCAAATTGCATCGTGGGTTATGTAAACAAGCAAGAAGAAGGCATAGAATAAAAAAAAGGCAATATCTCTGGCTCTGCTGCATCATTTCTGATCTGCCCTTTAAGCTGTCCATCAGGGTCTGACAGTGTTTTGGAGTGTAATGTTAAATCGCTGTATTCTTTTTGCTCTGCTGGTTGGTGCCATTAAAATATAGTGAAAATAATTTCCAATCCTGTTCCATATTTTGTTTATCTTGACTCTATTTATTCCTAAATTGGTAAAAGTGCAGCAGAATATAACCTAAATGTACCTGTAATATGTGCAGTTTCTGCAGAAATTGAAATAAAACACTGAAAATGATCTTGCATGATGCGCTCCCCGGTACGACCTCCGACTTTGTCAGCGTTTTTCCAGCTCTTTTGTTATCGAATTATTGGCAGCCGGCACACATCATTAGAGTGTGCTATCATCTCAATGCATGTCCACCGCGTGCAGCCGCCTTCATGGGCAGTGCTGTGTAGGCTGCCATTCTCACCTGGTATTCAGAGGTGGCGCGTAAATGTATCAGCCTGCTCAGTCATCGCTAATGGACCGAGCGAAAGGGAGTCTTTGTGGTGAAAATCTTTTTAAAGCAGAGTTCCTCACAATGGAATACGGACGGCACAAAAGTGATTATGAAGGGATCTGCAGCTACTCAGGAACAATTCAAACAGGTGGTTCAGATCGGACCTCTGTAATGTGATTCTGTTTTCATCCCAAAAGCCTGTAAAAGCGAACTAGAGCGAGCTGGTTTTTATGCAGTCTGAGTATTCATTAAACCATTTACCTACTAGTTTACCTAACTACCCAACCTGTGCAGACAACATCTCATTTACAGCGATGGGCTGACAGTGAGTCATCTCAACAGCTGATTAAGTCTGACACCCAAATGTCAGTTTGCTGCTCCATTCCCTGAAATGCCACATATCCTAAATGAATGCTTGATGCAAGACATTTAGTCAATTCAGAAAGACATTCTGTCAGCATTACCATTTCATTGAAACAAAAAAAAAAACAGAAGCCATAACGAGCTCTCTCCTCTTTCTCTTTCCTCTGCAGACACTCTCTCAGTGCCTCGCTGGTCCCCACAGATTCCCCGAAGAGATCTGGGAAACTCAATAAAACACAGGTAGGCCTTCAGGAAAGTCTGTGTGGGCGAGTGTGTGTTTGCTTATGTGCACACAGTCTATCAGCGATGGAATGTCAGTCCAATTAAACAGGGCCTCGTATCAGATGTGTTTCTCTTTCTGTCTGCTGTCCTCTGATCTAAGAAGTAAAACAGCTGTTGGACCTCCAGAATGTGGGTGTCAGTGAGGTAGAAAGAGGAGCTCTGAGCCTCATCATAGCTGTTATCTGAAGATTACTGCTGGTTTTAAGAAGCGACATCATTCCGTCCAACAATCTCCTCGATGTCAAATTTGTGTTTTTCGACCGTAAAGCCTTGACCTCATTACTGGGCTTTTGCGCTAAATGCAAAATTGTTTTTTAGTCTCTGAATCTGTCCTTAACGTCGTGTTGTCGTTCATTCACTAATAAAAAGAAAAAATGGTTTGGAGTGAGTCGTGCTTTCAGTCGAGGCAAAGAAGGGACCTAATAAAGAGATTTGGACTCTGTCAAACCGCATTAGTCACCTGCCATTAGCCAGTCGGCCACACTGCTGGCATGCAGGCGCTGCGTCAGTAAATACAGCCAACAGTCACATATGTGCTCGGACCACCCAGTCAGTCTTTGCAGTATTGGCGTCGTGCATTTGTTTGTTGGAGAGGTGACAGCGTTGGAGTCTTTAAGAGTGTCACAGGCCTCTGAACTCCCATCGCTCTGGCTCATTGTCGTATCGATGCTCGGTCCGAGACGTTCTTTCGCGCAGGGTTACCGAAAGATGAAAACGTAATGGGGCCCAAATTAAATCAGCGAGTGAGGGAGATTAAGAAGGTAAACGCTTTCGGAGAAGTAGCGTCTTCAAGCATCTAGCGTTCTCGCGGAAAGGTCACGCAGGGAAATGCGATGCGTTTGACAAAAGCCATCTGTCAGAATGAGAAAACGCCGCGAAAAGCAAAAAGGTCAAATCCCATGTTCTCCTCATGGTAATCCACAGCTCTTGCATGTCATATAAATGTGCAACAAGCTAAAAGTAATGCCCGTATATATATTCTTTAATCTGTCTTCTTTTTGCCTGCAGGTTTTCCACAAAGTATTGGATGTCCCAGACATGCATAGTATGTGGAAAGGGAATGTTGTTTGGACTGAAATGTAAAAACTGCAAGTAAGTATCCAGCTGGTCTGTCTTTAATGCCATTCACTGTGCAGCTGCAGTAGAGATTAATATCTGGTCCCACATCTTATTTAGTACAATTAGTGTGTCATTTTGCTTGTTTTTTTTTTCATTCGTATTTCTTCGTCTCTTTTGATTATTTATCTACACGACGCATGTTTATGACCCCTTTTGTTGTTTTATCTCACTCGAATAAATTACCAATTTGCATCTCTTGTCTGTTTTTTTCCTGCGGTGCTTCTGCTCCCACTTTGCAAAAGGTTTTTTAACGACGTGTAAATAAACAAACAAAAAGCAACAACAAGACAAACACTAATTAAGTTTTCCTGTGTTTCTGTGCACTCAGGCTGAAGTGCCACAACAAATGCACCAAAGAAGCCCCACCTTGCCATTTACTGATCATACAGCGAGGCGGACGAGAATCCCTCAAAGGTAGTTGTTCTACTTTCTAGCTCCAGTCACCTGCGTTATGCGTTTTTCATCAGCATTACTGGTGATGCTTTTCTGAGAACATTTCGAATTTCTACAGCAAAGAAAGTTGTTTATTGGGTTTTCGTGACCCGGGTGTCATAATGTGTCAATGAAATGATCCAATTCTGCCTAATTGAAAACTAAAGTGTCTGTACTTTGTTCTTTTTGGAAGAAAAAAATTAAATGATTTTTTTTATTTTTTCTGTGGGTGTTACATTTCTGGGGTTAATGACAGCAATTTGATGCATTATTAATTTTGTTCAAATTATTAACACCACACTTTGTGTCTTTTACAGTTTGAGAGTCAGTTTTTAGTCTTACCAGGAGTTTGATGTGAAGTTGAATAACAGTAATGAATAGTGTGTTCGGTGTTCTGACAGTTGGTTCAGACAGAAAATAATGTACATTTTCATATCGAGATAATTATCTCGTTATCTCGAGAAAACGAACGCCGTTTCCCCAAGATAACGTAATGGTTATCTCGAGAAAACGAACGCCGTTTTCTCGAGATAACGAGATAATTATCCCGTTGACAGTTCCGACTGTCACTTCAGCCTTCATCAGAAGTTGTCGGACTTCCTGGTGTGACGTATCTTATATAGACAGCTGACCGGGAACTCCGACATGACGTGTCATGAGAACAGCTGACCGGGCACGACAACTTACAATGAAGCGCTCGTGGCCGGTCTCGTCTGTCCTCCGGCCCCCCGCTGGTGACTAAGGATGGAATCCCAGGTGTGTGGGAGGTCCCACACACCTGGGATTCCATCCTGGACCGGGCACGAGCGGGCAAACACAAACACCAATTATCTCGTTTTCAGGAGAAAACGATTCTTGTTATCCAGAGATAACGAGAAAATTAACTCGTTATCTCGAGAAAACGGCGAAGAAAGAACAGTAGCGGAAAACGACCGCTCTCCGCTTCCGTATTTTCACATTGGATCATTCACATTACTTTGGACTGCTTGTACAGTATGTGTTGATTTCTTTAAAAAGGTCAATTTTTCAAATATTATTGATTTAGAATTCGCCTGAAGCTCCAACTTTTTGTCTTTTTCCTCATCTGTGTGACTTTTCACCATAAAGCCTCAGGATAGGTGCATCATTTTTCATGCAAGTTGGAACATTTTCAGCCTGCATGGATGCATCTTTACCTGAGTGAGCGTCACCTCAGGCGAGTTTAGTTACAACCACGTGTGTCTTCCTACATGCTGCGTTGAAACTGATTCTGTACGAGCGCACCTTGATACACATCGGCTAGGCGCAGGATCGGCAGGATACAGATTCAGACAGTTTTATTGTCCCGATTCATTTGCAGCTAACCCAGTGTTATGTGGTGCAGCTTTCGCCAGATGAAGAAATGCACCTCCTGGTAATGAAGAACAGGCCACTTAGAGATTTCAAGCTGACTGATTTACATGATGTGTTGGCCGGCTAAACGCAGCTTTGCCTAAAAACCGTGCATCTTTATGCTGGGGACAGAATCTGGAGCGTTGTGTGCCATCACCATGGCTAATGTTGATGTTGAGCCTCTAAAATAGAGGCTGGCTGCTCGTTAAACTACAATGATTTCTGCACATTTTAAATGCTGAATACACCACGTGTAATTGTGGAGGTTTTGGAACACTTTGGAGAGAATCAGACTGTTTTTTAGGGACGAATTTCACTGTTCACTCTTAAATTAATTATGTGTAATCGTCAGAAATGATCCCAAACTGAGATTCGTTACTGCTAACCCAGCCTGTAACGAACAGACGATAGTTTAGTGGTAAATTGTGTTTAGTGTGATATTAGTCCAATTAATTAGCACTAGGACTAGATTTCAAACCCATTTCCATGTTGCCTTCATGATTATTCACATATTTGAATGTGTTTGAGTCTTTGGAGCTGCTGAGGAGTTTTTTTTTTCAGTTCCTATTTCAAAAAGTCAAACAGCTCCTGCTGGTTGAGGCAAATAGAGGGTTATCTGCTGATAAATTCAGCCACTTTAGTTTGACAAATGTGATAGCACTGTTTATACTGGCACAGGAAAACTCCCCATTATCTGCTATGACAATTAAGATTCTTTTGTCCTCTCTCTACCTCCCCACCCCTCTTATTTCTCCCCAAATAAGATCACCAAGGAACGACTCAAGGTAAAGAGCACTAATTAGACTTCTTCTCCTCTGCTTTAGTGAGAAAAAGTGACAGTTTCTTAATGACATAGCTCGCTTAAGGAAACTTTTTTGTGTGCGATAACAAATGGATGCCTTTCAAGTGAGGGCAATTTTTTCACTCCGATAAAGAGTTTCACCTAATTTTCCCAAAGCTATTAGGCAAATGTTGTTTAATGTCAGCCTCCCGCGGTGCTCCAGTGTTCCTCTGTGCTTGTTTTCCCCTCCTCTGCAGTAGCTCGTCTGGTACGGACTGAATCAGTGCCATGTGACATCAACAACCCGCTCAGGTACACAGACCTGCACATCAGTCAGACGCTCCCCAAAACCAACAAAATCAACAAGGTAAGCGGAAGAAAATCAGCCGCGCATTACAATCTGTGCGTAACGTGTCGCATTGCTTCATTTTTTGGGAGCTGGTTCTGAGTCATCGCGCGTTTCTCAAGGGGGGATCCAGCAAAACCGTTACGAAAATATCTCCAGCAGTATTGATGTTTACACAGATGGATCTTGTTTTCTTATGCTGAGGGTTTCTTACAGCCGGCACATCTAACTATATCTGCTCAGTTCCAGAGGAAAAAGGAAAAAAAAAAAGTTTATCACAAGATTCCCGTGGTGGTAACACTATGATGGAAATGCTGTGAAATGAATGTGCAGGTGTTAACATGTGAATGAGACCTCTTACAGACGCACAGCTTTTGTGTTTGCCCTGAAACAACGCCGGTAGGGGAAATCACATACTGTTGTCATGCTTCAGGCTTTTTGCACTTGTTGCACTCGCAATGTTAAACTGCCACTCTAAGCTGGAGGTTTAAAAAAAACTGAGGTGTGTTATGTTTGTTATTACACATGTTGGAAAGTCTTTGACTCAGCAGATGCTTTTCACCGTATTCAATCTTTACAAGTCATGACTGTAGTTTTCAGCAAATCTTTGAGGGGCTGCAGGAGGGTTTAACTGTCTAAACCCTGAGCAGTTTCTAGGGTGCATTTTTGTTCCCATTACTGCAATGTAAAGTCCTGCACCTCTATGGAAACAGCACAACCATAGCTAGGCGTAGAGAGAACTCAGAAAAACATTTTCTGCTGTGTGACAAAGTTACAATGCCTTTTTTTGAAACCCACATCAACTCTGCTCACTACAGTCAAAAATAGAATTGGTTTTCTGCATCGTAATAAATCCTCATCTGCACTATCCGCTAAACACCTCCTGGTCAAAATGACAGTACTTCCGATTGGCTATACGGTGACATACTTTATAGATCCACATCCAAATCCCTCCTCCATAAACTGGACACTATCTACCACACGGCCATCCGTTTTGTCACTGGTGCCCCCTTCACCACTCACCACTGCCCTCTATACAACCTGGTTAACCGGCCCTCTCTTCACTCCCGCAGGCAAACCCATTGGTATTTGTTCATTTATAAAACTATCATAGGTCAAACTCCGGCATACCTACGTTCACTACTCATCACCCGTCACATCAGCCGCTCACTTCGCAACCTCATCCACCTCCTCATCCCCAAAGCCCGCACTGTCTTTGGCCGCTATTCATTTCAGTTTTCTGCAGCTCTCGACTGGAACCACTTACAAAAAACACTTAAACTCAGTGTATTTATATCTGTATCTTCTTTTAAAAATATGGTGAAGCAACTATTTACCGAGTCCTGTACCTGCTTTTAGTGTATTTTATCTTAAAAGCCTTTTATTGTTACGTTTTGTTTGTGTACTGTTTTTTATGGATGTCTTGTATTTTCTGCTCTGTGCTGCCTCTTGGCCAGGTCGTTATTGTAAATGAGAATCTGTTCTCAATTAACCTACCTGGTTATATAAAGGAAAAAATAAATAAATAATAAATAAATGCCATTTAATAAAGAAAGAAAAAACAAAATTTGATTAATGTTACAAATACTGACAAAACCTAGACTCTATATGTACAGGTGTTGCCAACACTGAACCCTCCCCCCCAAAAAATGTTAGCTCTACATACTATAAGTGTTTTACTATTTAGCCTGCAGTTCATCCCACTTACATTAAAAAGTCCAGGAATTTTTGTCATGTGACTTTTGGTTGCAGCTGAGTTACCAACGGCTGACAAGAGCAGAATTTTTAGTGTTTCTTAAAATCTGTTTGTCCAATCAGTTTGTTTATTTTATTTATTTTTTAACAGTTTCTTAAATGGAAATGCAGCAGTTCTTCTCTTGCTGTGATAAATGGTGTCATTGTAGCATTTAAAAAAAAACAAAAAAATAGATATGATACCTTTCAGACTGTGATATCTCCTGTGTAGCATCCCAAGTAGCAATCCTAACAATGATTCCCTTTAAGGCCACCTAAAGTCTTGATCGTGTTTGTATGTTTCTGATTAAATACGATCATTTTAACCTGAAAGCTTTTACTAGTAAAACAATGCAAACTGTCAGTGGTTCGTCCACATCATGAATGAAACTCTACCCCTGTTTAATCCTTGCATTTGAAAACATACTGAAGTAAAACAGCATTATCTAAGGTGTCTGGTGCTGGTTTAACAGATCTCTCAATCAATGCGGCAGTGAATGCAGGTTCTAATCCTGTGTTTTGATCATGCTTCAATGAACCTGTAAACAAAGCGTCTGCTTTTACGACTCTGAAGCCTTCAGCATCCGAGCCAACCCCTGCTAATGCACACAACACAGAGACACATCAAGCAAGAAGAGATGTTTTGTACATTTTTTTTCTTCTGGCTCCACTTTTAATCACAGTCGCTGGTGAAAGATGTGGCTGCTTATCTCAGTCACTCAGATCCTCCTGGTCTCTACATGTTTGGGTTTACAGTTTTCTGATGGTCCAAATACAATTCATAATCTCTCACATCTCATGAGTAAATCCCACACTCTGGTGTGATCTAACCTAACCACAAACATCACAACGATACCATCGTTTTTCATGACTTTGCTGTGTAATTTGCCAAAGCGCTTCTCACTTGCTGTGGCGGATGATGATTTCTATTTGAAGTCCATCCTCCATGATTCTTTTTGGGCAGATACGACAAAATTGCATAGGACGATATCAGTGGTTGTACACCGGCTTTAACTCATTCGCTTGAGATTGCATACACTCTGCATCATCGCAGGTCATTTCCTGAAGCATTCCGTACATCTTCAGATTGATTTCCCACCTTGCAGGCAGCCATTGATTACCCCTCTTTCCAGTGCGCTTTGAAAACCAAGTAGCAGAGACTTGAAACTTGCTTGAGGAAGATAATCCATCAAACTGAAAAGTTTGCCGTCTGTAGTTTCTGTCAGTTGTGTTATTGTGGCGTATGGAACCCCTAGCTGTTGGTGCATTCGAGGATGCTCTGAAATCTGAGGCTTAATGTTCAAGGAAAAAAAAAATATGGATATTTTTGTTGTTGTTGTCTTTTGAACTCAATTCTTTGACTGTACAATTAATATAATAAGAAATGAAGGGCTTTTCAGCATAGTTTGCAAAGTCAGGAGAGACTTATTGGAAAAAGTGGTTGTTTCTGAGTTATTACTGAAAAAAAAAAATGCTGTACGCAAACAGACTTAGGTTGATTAGACTCCATTATGAAATGATTATTTTTTGGCAGTTGTTTAAATTGAAATAGGGTGGAGTATTTGTAGAGGTTCTGATCTAGATGTAAAGCAAGTTTTGTAAGATTTTCAGCTTTCCAATGTGGCCTGGAGCAGCATAACTAAGGAGCTCAGTGAACTGAGTCTTGACTCAATGAGCCCAACAAAGCACAGTTTTACATTCTCACAGCGACATCATGATTGATTCGCAGAGGCTGGTTTAAGTGTAGAGCTAAAAGACAGACTGAGTAAGTGAAATGTGCAAAAAAATATAACGACAGTGGGAATGTAAGATAGTTTTCCTAAATTTAATTTCACTCAACTCTATTTTCTTGGGTCCTTGAATGCATCATCTGTGCAGGAATTACACAAAGACAACATCATTTCGCCAGAAAAGTAAATTCAGCATATTACTCATGGTGATGAATTACCTCTGTCAGGCAAGTTTCACGTCTCTGCACGGTGATCTTCTTATTGTACTGAAATTAATGAAAACCCAGCTCTGCCTGCAAGGTAGAAAATCAATAGAGAAATTTTGTGTTGGATTCAGAAAAAGGCAGACAATAAAGCACAGTACAATTAAGGGAGCAAAGCTTCACTTTAAAATCATCGCTTTTGAAGTTTGAGTAGAGCCTCTGATAGCCTTGGTTTTTTTTATTGTCTCCTCTCAGGATCACATCCCAGTCCCATACCAACCAGACTCCAGCAGCAACCCGTCATCCACCACCTCCTCCACCCCGTCCTCCCCGGCTCCTCCTTTGCCCAGCAGTGCCACGCCTCCGTCGCCACTACACCCCTCCCCGCAGTCAGCACGGCAACAGAAACAGTTCAACTTGACAGGTACGTACCAGATGTGCATTCCTTCACATTCAAATTTCCAAAATTTGGCACGGGAGTAAAACACACTCCTTTTATTGTCCTCCAATCGCCTTGCTTGGAACTTTTTTCCAGTATGAAGTAGCTGACTGATAGTTGCTTACATGTTTACGTAATGAACAGGAATGACTAACTGGTGCACAATTTGGCACGACTTACATCCTTGCTGATACCATTACACTTTCTGCCTCTAAAGCAGTCTGGGAACTGTGGTTCCAAAACCTTTTCCTATCAAGTCGATCCAAGTCCTTTATCTCCTCGATTCACACTTTGAGTATTTGTACATTAGCTGTAGTACCTCTTACTGTGGAATACTGTAGTGACTTGAGGAGCTGGGCACCTCTGTGTTGGCAAGCAGAGAGCATTATGGGAGTTTAGCAAGTAAAGGAGCACCATGACCAAGACTTTTATGGTTTACTAACTTCAGGCTGGCTAATGTGTAATAAATTAAGATGATTTGCAATAGAACATGGTCTCAGCTGATACCATTATTCTTCCTGTTGTATGGTTCCAACACTTCAAACAAGGGATACTCAGATTACATTTTTATTTGCTCCCAATCTGACCCAAGTCATTTAGATACTCGATACCAATTCACTAGATAATCAAGTATTGTAGCTAAGCTGTAGTACCTCTTGTTGTTTAGTTCTGTAGCGATCAGGCACTTTGGTGTTGGCAAGCAAAGAGCTTCATTGGAGCTTGGCGAGTAAAGGAGCACAGTGTCAGAGACTTGAATGAGGTTTACTGGCTTCAGGCCAGCTAGTGTGTGATTGGTATGCAGCAGAATGGCAATTTTACACCACGGCAGAACTCTATTGGCCGTTAGTATAGCTTTCTAGGTGTAGACAAAGAATTGGGTACAGATCAATCTGATACTTAACACTTTAAAACCCCTTGATTATTCCTGGTCTTACAATTAGACTGGGGACATTCCTGCTTTGAACGAAATTCCAAAAATAGTAGGAGTGCAAAACTTGTAGACACACAGGCAGGCAAGACAAAAGCTGTTCAACACTAGTTTTCATTTTTCCGCCGATGTCAGCAGGCTTCAACAGTCGCACAAACTGCATTGGGTTCAAGTGTGACTGCAGTGGATTAGCACATTGCCTATTTTCTCCACTGCCAGTAGAAATAGACAGCAAAAAGATGTGTTGATGCTCATGTTTACATACTAACAGCAACATAAGATAACTTTTGAATGATAAAGTATAAAGTGTACATGTGTGCACAGCCATATGCAGCGTGGCCTGAGTCAGAGAGTCCACACCAATGCTCGCTGCTTGTTATTTCTCACAACAACAAGGCCAACACGCCGATGTTAAGCAGGTATAATGTTTATCATGTTTACTCTGTTAGTCTAGCATTCTTCAATGCTACAATTATGCTTATTAGCACAGTGATATCTGAACTCATGTACAACTAATTAATTGCATTTCTGAGTGCCCCAGCTGAAAATATTAATATATGCCATGACACATAGTGCCTCTCTGCCTCAAGCCAGCAAACAAACAGAGTGAAATCCAAGCGTAAATAAGGCTGTGTTTTAAAATCTGTATGCGAACTGTTTGGATTCCGAATACTCAACTAACAAACTGCCACGTAAGATTGACCGCACAACTTTAGATCAAATCCCACCTCTTCTTTTGTCTCCTTCCACAGCCTCCAGTTATTTCAAATACAAACAACAGTTCATCTTCCCTGGTAAGTACCTGGTAATTGATCATTTCCCCTACCTATAATGCACTGCAGCCAGCCAAGGATGAGTAAGGAGGGCTCTTTTGATGTTGGTGCTGATTTTCATCCCCTCACCTTGGCCTGCTTGAAGACTCTCGGCCCCTACACCCACTCGCGCTTGTCTCATTTGGGCCTCCTAATGATTTGTCAATGCCCAGACTGTGTGCTTTTTGCCCACACTGGTACCGCGCAGTCTTTGCTCATTTGGCAGGTTATTACAGCAGAGACAACCTGGAGCGCTGTGACGAAAAGAGTGAGGTGTAGCTGAGCTCTGGGCTTGTTTTATTTTTTATTTTTTTGAAATGCATAAATATACTGTACAACATGCAGCAGCGGATTCTGATTATTGCAGCCACACAGACTGTTTTCAGGTAATTTACATGAGCTGTGTTTATGAGCTGCATAACAACATGGTCAAATCCAACCACTTAGTGTTAGTTGAAAACCATTATGCTGTAAGTGGAACGAATGCCACAGTCATGTTGTATTAAATTTACTGCTGGCACTCATTTAGAAAAAACAGAAAACAAATGATAAAAAATTCATATACGCCCTCTCGGGGATATTACAGGATGATTTTTACATGTGTTAGTTTAATTTTGGTGTGGTTTGAGCAGATCCCAGTGTACGTTTTTCTCAGCCCTCATCCTGTCACATGAATCACATGCTTTGCGATATACGACTGGCTCAGATTCACACCGCTCGACAATTTCGAGCCTCCAGTCCTCCCAGGTCTTTGGAGCGAATCCACGAAAACGTCCGCACAGGAAACACAACCAGGTCCTTCTCGCTGTGAGGCGCCGGTGCCAGCTTCTTAATGCGCCGTGCCGCAGAGGGAATGTCTTTGGTGGCTCACACTTTGTGTCACAAATTGTCAAAGTGTTCCAACACAGGCATGCGAGCGTGACAGCGAATCCTCTGATGTCTTTCAGAGGTAGATACGACACAACAGCTGACCTCGCTCCATCCCACATGATGGAGACTCCAAAGAGCAGCAAGGAGAATTCAACCTGCTCCTTCGCATTCTCCACTAATGTGACATGCAGCGTATATGTGTGTGTCATTTTATGGTGATCAAATTAAATTTCCTTCTTCAACATGCTTTTAAGACTACAAACCCACCGTGTGCAATGCTGTTCCCACTACGGGGACGCATTATACATTGATTAATATTTCTATGCAAGACATTAAAAGAGCAATTCAGTGTGACCAGGAGAGTGTGAGGGATTTTCATTGTACAGCTGACATTTTCTTCACCGCGTTCAAACAAAGCGTTGTCTGAGGCGCTCCAGGTGAATAGAAAAATATTGAATTCCAGCAATATTTCAGTCACAAATCTCTTTCATGCATTAAATCTACATTCTATTCATCATTACGTGCAGGTTTTGACACCAGACAAATGTCCGTTCTTGAAAGGCTTTGTTTAAAAAAAACAAAAAGACAGCATATAGGATATCAATTCAGTTCAGCTCAGTCTTTATTAGTGTCCCATGTGGGTTCTTTGGTTACAGCATCAGAGCCAGACATGTAAACATCTAAGAACCCATGACAACAATATATAACATAATACAATTTTATAGTAGATAATAGAATACATATGTACAATAAATACATTAAAATCCCCCATTCAGATCTTGGATGATGGGGAAAAAAAACTTCGTAGTCCTACTTGACCATTTACGATCTGATTGCACAGGGAACAAACAAGTATTTGGAATGATTACACTTAATCTTTGTTCGACTATAGTGTCAGCCCGAAGGCAGACCAGTAAACTCTGGGTACAGAGAGTGATCACCGTCTCAGAGCACAGTTTAAAGTCGATGCAGAACATTTCTGCCAAACAGATGAGACGGGCTTCTTTGTTTTTTTTTTCCTATGATCTTTATGTCTTTATTATATGACCAAGCCTCCCCCAGTGTGTCAGGACAGAGTACTGGAAAGTTTAATCAAATGTGGTTTCTGTGTGTACAAGTTAGAAATGCATCCTCTAGTAACCACATTTTTAGTTGTTATGTTGCCTTTTTGCCCCTTTTTAAAAAATTTAGTTTAATAAAGAACGCTACTGTATATGTGGTGAATGGTGGTACACAAATTGATTTTCAGTATTTTAAACCACAGTCCTCTTGCATGGCCTCCCATGTTAGTCCAGTTGAAACATTTCAGGGGGAAGAGGTGTACTCCACGGTACCCTGGATGTTTGCAAATCCTGTCTAAAGCTGTTTTTATACAAGATGTAAAGGATAATGGAGG